GTACTTGGTCAAAAATAAGATTTCAACCGACGAATGGTTTAATATTGCGTGAAGCAGTCGCCATGAATGAGATTTGTTTAGCTAAATAATGGAAGAAGAGTCATCGAGAGTCATTCAAAATCAGCCAGTGATACCTGTATGCAAATGAAAAATACAAATGTAAAACGAACTTCAATCAAAGACTGAAACAAACTTACTTGGACTTCTTGGACCACTGGTTCCAGAATGTGACTCCAATTTTTCATTGATACACGTATTATACCCCGAGAGATGGCGTTTACACGAGTGTACCTGGCACCAAACCGTCGCAACCAAAACAAGATAAGTGCTTAGAGTAAACGTTAGTCGAAACATTGCTTTAGCGATAAAATGAATTTTAAAACAGCTCTGTCTTTTATAAATAGATATATTTCCGACATTGGTTATACATCATAATGATAAATTTTTGCCTTAAAACATCGAAAAGTGATAATCAGAGCACCATATGACACATGTCGTCAACGGTTAATTACGGAATACATCGGATGATGGCCGAAAACCATTTTAAATATTTTTCTAGAAAATACTTTGAGTGGTAATGCCATAGTTAAAAAATTCACCTTATTTAATAACCCTTTTTTCTAGTGACAGGAGCCCTAGGGGGGACAATGACTTACTTGTTTTGACTAATTTGTTGTGACTTATTCATTAAAGATGTTTTGTTGCTATTATATAGCTAAGTGTAAAGTGGATTTGGAGTACGTGGTAGGTAGGTGTTTATTATAAAATGAAATGTTCAGTTCTAATTTAACTTTTTATGAATTGTCGTAAACAAACTAACATGCCTATATCATACATGTGTACAGTATTCTAGTATTAAAAAATCGATTATATTGTTATTTATGCTAAGAGCTATTTTACGAAAAGTGCTTCATTAGCAAAGGACAAGATAGGGTAACAGCCGAATCTCGCCCTTTATTTGATATAAAAATCAGAACACTGGTAATATTGTGATAGTTTGTTGTTAAGAAGTTAAAATGATGCTTACTTTTTAAAGACAAGCTTTCATGGAAGCCACTAGAGAGTGCAGAAATATGACATTTTCCCGAATTTCCTCAATTTTGGTGGAATTTCATCATATTTGGGATACATTTCTCTTCAGAAAACATAGAGCACAAGCTTGCCTATCTGAGATTTTTACACATATACTGCATCTGATATCAGTGTATAAAATATATAAATTTGGTAAATAGGCAAGCGTGTGCTCTATGTTTTCCGAAAGAAAATGTGCTGTAAAATTAATGAAATTTGCATAAAACCAACACTCATTTTGTGGCAAGGGTGAAAACAGGTTTTCATGGATAAACTGTTGGATCATTCTGAAAGACACCCAAAATCGGGGGCAAAATACTGGTCTTACCCTATCTTGTCCTTTATAATTAATAATAACTAAGAATGTCTACGTTGTATGTTCCTTATTTGCGAAATGTTTCTGAACAAACCCAGATCTATTTATTAGTTGGGTACCCCCAAAACACATTTCCATCCTGGTATTTCTTTAGTTTAGGGTGGGAAATTTTTTTTCTGAATTATCTTTTTTTGAAGGCGATAAAAACTTCAGTCTCCTGTGATATGACTAATCATGGCTTTGTTGTTCTTGAGAATTCTTTTTAAGGATTTCCCCTAATAGATGTATTTCTATGACTTTGACCTTTAAACGACAAATCATAAAAATCTTCATGATAAAGTTTTTATTTTTTTTAAATACTATGTCTTCATATTTACTACAAAATTATGGTTGATTTAGCATGTCTCTTTTCAAGATCACCCCCTAACACCCCAGTTACAACACAATTTTAATTAAAAAAATACGTACTTGGAATTTTTTAAGGTACATTATTTGGACTAAGTTAACGCACTTTGAAAAAAATAGTTTTCATTTTCAGAGTGCGTTACATGTAAAATCATCCATATCAATCAATGATGTAACATGTGCACAATTTACATGTAGTCAATATTCTGGCAAAGTTTATATATGATAAATAATATTTGAACCTGGTTTGTCATTTTTCGGTGATGTCGTCACTTCAGGATCTGTGATCTATAGACGTTTTGGGGTACGAGAAATGCAACAAAATTGAATCCAATGCAAATTTGTATGCTCATCGAAATAATTTTTCCAACATAACATGACGGTGTCTTTATAGTTATTTGATACATATCAGTATTCGAAAGTATAAAAAAAAATGTTTATTCCTATCTTTATTGAACAGTTATTCAAATAGTATAGTATTTGTAGTATTTTTTTTAATTTTTGATATGTATTTGATTATGAATAAAGTTGATTTCGCCAGAGTTTAGTCAATTAGCTATTAGTAATGTTGCTTAGATCTGGCCCCTGAACATCTTTTTCATAATAAAGGAATTTTTCAATTTTTGTGGAAAGCATAATTTAATGAGAAAACATGAATACATACTGGTATATTTGAGTAGGAATGATACAGAAATGGGCTGAGGGTCCTTTTACCTGTTTTCTATTTCTCAATGAGGATAAATCAATTCATCGATTTTTCGCAAGAAATTTTAGAAAAACAAATGCTGGCTTTTCATAAAATCTATAAGTCTGGAGATTTTGTTTTAAGCAAACTTTTTCAAAGTGTGTTAAGTACCTCCGTGGAAAATATTTTGACGTGAATTTTTAACGCACTTTAAAAAAAAATATCAAAGTGCGTTGATTTTGTTCCAGTTTTAAAGCACTGTGAAAATTCTTTCAAACTGTGTATTTTTTTTTCCAAAGTGCAGTGCCACATAGTTATATTCAGAAAAAACGAATGAAGAATATGTTCGCAACTGCAATGGAATTTCTCAGCTTATGAAATAATTCAACTGTTACTGACTTGAAATCTAGACAACATTAAATTACTTGTCATATTAAGTTAGGTTAATATGTAGAATGGGTCTAATTTTAAGGATACTTTAATGTACTTCTGTGAATTAAAAAAGCATACTTTCAATATATGAAGAAGTCAATAAAAATGGAATTTATATTAAAATAATGAAGGGAGATATTTCTTTAAAGGAAAAAGATATATATTGCTTGAGAGATACCAACATCGCTTTTGGACGTTTTTGAAAGATATCTCCTTCACTTTGAGAGATAATGCTGAAAAAAGCTTACAAGAGAAATATCTCTTTTACTTTGAGAGATATCTCTTTGACTTGGAAAGACATTTCCAAAAGAAAAAGAGATATACCTCTAGTTGTAAGAGACACCCCTCTAGATGACAGAAATATCTCTTTATGTGCAGCAAGAGATGGCTCTCTTATCAAAAGAGATACATGTACTATATAGTATCTTTCTGAGTATAAGAGATATCCCTGTAATTTTATGTTTAATTTTATTTTGCGAATAAAAAGCAAAACGATTTGCCATAGCTTAAACAGACTAGAAGTAATGATTTGTCTCAAGAAAATATAGTATTGATTGAGAAACTTATAAGCGCTCCCAAAGTAAGTTTGAAGATATAACGAAATGATTATACATATAGGTCTTCCCCTACTCTACTGTAAAATGAAGACCTACCCTGTAGACTAGTAATTGCGCGATAATTTTTTCATTTAACCAAAAACCTTACACGGGGAGCACCTATGGATAAATTTATTGATGTGAAAACTTTTTCTTCTTTTTGTTCTCGTCCAATCAAAACACAGGAAAGCAATAAAAAATTAGATCGAAATTATATAATGATATCTTCGTATGACTTTGAAATACTTGCACTGATCTAGAAACTGTAATTACCGGTTACTGGTAAAAATTACAATGAATTGCTTCGATAATTGCAACTTTATTCAATTGTAACAAATAACAATGCTTCAATTAATTAAAAATCCGGAGAAGTGAGAGTAATAATAGTTTCCAGCAATGTAGGGAAATCCAGTTCCTGTCGTTCTGACGTTCAGATTTACTTTGTCTCCCCTTGAAAGCTCCAGTAAAGTATTTTCTGATCTTTTGATCCATACTCCTTGAGTTCCAAAAAACAAGATACCGGATACTCTGCCGTTCTTCATGACATTTATCCTTATGTAGTCTCTGCCATTTGCGGGGAATGGGGTTGGCACACTCATGGTGACAACGAAGAAGTATGATCCGGATAAGGGGGCGGTAAAGACACCAGTTATGCCGTTATAGGCTCCTCCCTTATTGGTGAGAACTTTGTCAAAAATAAAAGTTCCAATGACTGGTTTTATATCGCGTGAAGCAGTCGCCACAAATGAGACATGATGAGCTGCAATGACAATGTTAAAATAACATTTAATTTTTTTCTTCTTTTTTGAAAATTTGTTTCACTTACCTTAATGGATCGCCGCTCAATTGAACTTTTGTGACCGAAAGCGCCGGCTTCTGTTTATCTTCATTTGTTCTGTTTTAAAATTTAATTCTTAATTTTTTATCTGATCCACTGAGCCAACAACACACTTGTCACAAAGAATCTTATAGTAAAAGGGATTTACATTTGTTCACAATTATCACCATCTCAAAAACATGAACTGTGCAAAATATGAAAAATATTTTAAAGCTTTAGTAGTATTACATAATGCAGCTCTAAATTTATTCCATGGTGTCAGGCCACCACATGGAATACAATTATGAGGACGTATATATTAGCAACAGTATTTCTTTTCAAGAACAGCAAATCCGATATTAGCCATATTGATAGAAAATAATCCACAAGAAGTGCATGTTCAAGTTTGTTCAAGTATCTACCATGGCAGGGAAGTATCCGTCATGGGTAGAGAGAGGGCACCAGATCAACCATTTACATAGAATACTAGTATAAAGAAAAAATCGTTTATTTAAGGAATGAGTTTAATAGCTACCCATTTTATACGGTATAAATTGGGTTGGAGCAGTTTACGCGAAGTCATTGTGACGTAGGCAACCCATTTTATACGATATAAAGTAAACCTTTTATCCAATCAAATAAAGCGTTACAACCAGAATTAAATTATAATCTTTTAAAGCCTCGATTAGTTACAGGAATACAAAGGCATTTTCAATTAGTTTTGCTTCAAGTCTGTTCACCCATTTTTTTTTTTTAGATTTGTATAACATAACATTCAGAAAGTATAAACCTTTTAATGTAGAGACGGTCTACTTTTCTCTAGACACAGTGCTCAGATAAGCGATGATTCTCATAGGCCTCTTATTTTTTAAATAGTAATATCGGATGGAATTCGATTCAACAAAGATCAAACAAAGAAATACAAACTTACTTGTTCTGTTTAGAGAACGTTCAATGAATTCAACTTTAGACTCTAAATGTGCAAATGTCTCTTTTGTACAAGCATCATATTCGGTTAGGTGGAGTCCACATGCGTTGTTGCAGTTTTGGGCCGACTTCATACAGATGTTGTAATATTCGATGTTCTTGCAAGAACAACTGCACCATGCTATCGCTGCCAAAGAAAGACAAGTGCTTAGGAAAACAGTTATCTGAAACATTATGGTGGATCAAATCAATTATGATACCAGCACTTATTTATACTTTTATTTTTATATATAATTTTATGTGGGTTGGATATATAAATTATTCATTTTCATGTGAAAATATGGAAACCCGATACCCAGTGCGCCATATGTCACATCTATAGCCTTCTCATCATCAAGGTATAAATATAAACACATTATTGGTTTCTAATATTTCACTGTCTACAAGTTACTTGATCTCGTCAAATTGGTGACAGGAAAACACGAAATTGTGTTGAGCTTAAATATCGAAATGATGTCAACATACATTGAAAATTCACTTGGTTTTGCAAAAGTTTAATGTTGGTAGAACCTATTCCAATTGTTGCCATTGATAGTTTGCCCATCTCTCCTTTTTAAATGAAAACCCTTATACACTTAAAGGTTCTTGGACACAGATTTGAAGTTTACTTATTTTTTTTCTCTATAATATTACGACTTACGAGATATAACGAATTAAATTCATTATAACAAATTCGACAATTCGTTATATCGGATTCAAAAATATTTTTCGATAGGTCCAAAATGGTCTTCCGTATAAAAAAGTGTAAACTGTTCCAACCCAGTTTATATACCGTATAAAATGGGAAGCTATTAAATTCATATTATCTGGTAGGATACTGCCACGTCATTGACTGAGGTCCATGTCCATGTCCATCCAGAGCCGTTCAAATCACCAGTTCTCCTGCCAGATAAATGGTTAGTCATAGGTTGAATAGACTAGAGGTAATTATGTTTCAAGAGAGTAGTACTGATTGAGAAATAATCTACTAGACATTCTTCTAAAACCGTTAAAACCGTTATGCTCTGGAGTCAAAAGTTATGTACGAGATGACCGTCATTTACCCGAGAAAGTTGAAAATAACAGTAAGCTCATTACGCTGGATGTCATAAACTTGTACAGTTATATATCAAGTTCCCTGGGACTTGAAGCCGTGGACTACTGAATAAGTAAGAATCCTGAAAAAAATAACGGCAGATTTTCAAAGGATTTTATTTCAGAAGCAACAGAAATAGTGCTGAGTGACAAATAATACATTCACATTCAATGGAAAACATTTTGAACAAATAAAAGGGACGGCTACGGGCACAAAAATGGCTCCAACATATTCTACGTTAACATTAGGATACTTAGAAGAAAACATGTATCAAAAAGTTGATGAACAATTCAACGAAGAGGTGAAACTTTATATTTCTAATAACTGGAAAAGATATCTGGACGATTGTTTTATTGTGTGGAAATTCAGCGACAACGAATTATCTACCTTTAAAACATTACTGAACGAACTTAATCCTGATATAAGATTTACAGCGGAGGAAAGTACAGATAGGATTCCGTCTCTGGATAAAATGGTAATAAAAGAAAACGATGTCATTTTGAGAGATATCTATTACAAACCTACAGATACGCATCAGTATCTTCATTTCAATTCATGCCACCCACGACATACGAAAAGAGCTATTCCTTATAGTTTAGCAAGAAGAATATGCACCATCGTTAATAAGGAATCAACCAAAATACAAAGACTACAAGAACTGAAAGAGTATCTACGGAAACAAAGTTATCCCGAAAAAATTATTGATTATGCTATTAAAAAAACAATGGAATTAAACAGAGAACCTCCTTAACTCTGTGCAACAAAACAGGACGGATTCCAGGATCCTGCCATTAGTAACGAACTATAATCCCCAGAATAAAAACGTTGCGCCAATTGTTTACCAACTCAACGACGTTTTGAAAACCGACGAAACTATGTCTAAAATATTTGAAAATCGGAAATTCATAAACTTTAGGAGGCAGCCGAAGAATCTCATACGAATTCTCACTAAATCCTCTTTAAAGAAACATCGGAATTTCATGTGACCAAGTGCCAGGATCCACGTTGTGGTACCTGCCCATACATACGACAAGGACAAAATTTCAATTTTAGCGGGAAACAGTTTACTGTTAATTATAACATGTCATGTCAAACTAAAAATGTTATATACGTTATAACATGTTCCGGTTGCGGAGAATTATATAACGGCGAGACGGGAAGTACCTTACGGGAAAGGATCAGAGTACACAAACAACAAATAAACGTACCGCAATATCGTAAACTCAAAGTCTGTGAACACTTAGAGGTGTGCGGAAATAAAACTTTTACTGTCTTTCCATTTTATAAACTGCACACCTCTAACGCAATCGAAAGACGTGATAAAGAAAAACATTTTATAAGGGCTTTCAAACCTAAAGTAAATAGTTTAATGTAAAAGAATACATGTATTTTCTTTACATGTAAAGTATTTTATTGAGTCACATTTATTGCTTTGTTATTGTATGCTTTGTTAATGCATTGTTCTTTGAAAGTACGGGAAAAATATGACGTCAATCAGAGACTTGTTAACATTAAGTTATTATGACGTCACAAAAGACGTTACCATGAGTATTTTATAAAACATCATGAAGAAGAAATGAAAGTACTTATGTCTTACTCGTTCTCTGTGTCTTTATTTATTTAAAATAATTTCCATATTTATCACCGATCATTGTAATATTTCTCGGATTTTGAACATGTGCGATCATAAGTGCTTTTTTTTTATATAGGATAAAAAAAACTAAACCATAGAAAATAAGTATTTCTCGGGAAAAAAAACAAACAAAACAAAACTAAGTGAATGATGATGTATTTTTAAGACAAGAAAAGCATTTAATTTGGAATAACCATAATTTTTTATGCTTGGGTGTTCATCCCTGTGTAGTAGATTTCACTTTTGTTTTTCCATAGAATTAAAGGTATTCAGATCAATACAGCTCTATCGAGAGATATATTTTGGCTATCGGTGTTCTATTATCAGTCAAGCATGAAAAGTATCTATTGGTCACTTTCACTTCTTTTATTCTTTTGGCTATTTAAATCATGACAAAACTTTATATTATCAGTAGTGTATCTACTCACTGACTAGGTCTAGGGTTGACACCTTTTCCACCTGAATCAGGTATTACATGGTTTTCATTATTGCATGTTTTTTTTGTATAATAAATTGTTGAAACTTTACAAGTTGTTTTATTTAAGGAAAGTTAACCTTGGTCCAGAACAATTTTATTTCGGAACGAACCTGGGTAAAAAAGTAAAACGTTTTAGAGTGTGAAATACAACTCCTACACCTGTAAGCAGAGCTATTTGTCAAAATATTGATTGCCATTTCGAAGAAAAGCGATGCCATGTAAATTGATAAAAATAATCATTACTTCCATTATCTTAAAAGGACAAATAAAATACTCAAACATAGCAAGTCGTACGTCATTACACTAAATTCATGAGTAGAAAATGTATTTTTACACTGATACTCTAACACACAAATATGACCCCTATTGTGTTTCACTATTTGCCTTTTCTTCCATGAAAATGTGTTTATGTACTTCTTTTGATTTTCAGGAGTCAAATTCAAGATTATTGAAAGTGATGTTTTTTTTTACTCAGTAGGAAGCGTATAACAGCTTTTTTTAAATGTTAAGCCTCGTTTAGTAATACGTCAAATCTGTAAGGGGAACGAACACATGATATATCGAATCTAGTTCTTAAGTTGTTTTAGTTTTTGCTAATTGAATAAGATATATAAAAGACTGCAATTTTTTTCAGATTGTATCAAATTTTGGAATCTTCTACAGAAAGGTAAGATTTAAGAAGTACTTACTATTTATAGTAATGATTAACATCACCATATTATTTAGCGAAGAACATGTCTTAACTATTTTCGATAATTCTTTGTTGTCTAGTTGTCTAATTTTTAGTCGTTAGATACCTTGCTTAATAAAATTAATTCAAAATACTGCTTAAATATCATCTTTACACATTTTTCAAAAAGTAAAATTACCTTAAACCAAAACAATAAATCTTGATTAATTTTTCAAAGATTTTTTAATAATATTTACGTAAAAGAGCCGAGTTGGCCTTCGGATCATGAAACTTCTACTGGCCATGTCTTAAGCTTAAGGACAGATGATATAATGAAAAAATCGATGCCTGGATTGGTATATATTTTTTGGTTTAATTAAATTAAAAATGATGCAAATAATAAATTTCTAGAATATAAAGAAAATGTAAACCTTCTATGGTGTTCAAAATTTTGCCTCTATGGAACCATCCTTATTAATCTATATAATTTTTTCCCCACTTCAAATCGCATTTTTGTGAAATTTTGAATGAAAATGTAAAAACCTGTAATTTTTTTTACATAATCTGTCTTTGATAAGGCAAGGAAGTATGTTGTGCTGATTTATTGTAGAATTAAAACAGTCCAAAACAAAATTATCATATAAAATAATTCTAACGTTTTTGCTTAAAAATTTGCAATTATGCATAACATTTAAATTTGAACATTTGGTGACTATTTTATTTCATCAAATTTCAAGAAGTTGCATGACTAAAGTTTGTTCTCAGTTTATGGTTTTAAGTCCAGTATTTTAGACACTGTTTTTTTTTTTTTTTTTTTTTTTGTTTTTTTTTAAAAAACCCTCCTCATAAAATTGTCTAAATGATACGGTTTAATGAATGCAGTGGACAAACTTTTTTTATGGGGTGTTGTAATATTGAGATTTTTTATGTTGATAACTTGATATCGTCTTCAAACGTCCAATAAACACTTGAAATTCTAATATAATTATTAATATAATGTATTGGGGAAAATATTAATCTGGTAACCTGTCTAATAGCCTATTTAAAGTCTCTACTTGAACATTTCTTGAAGTTCTTAGTCTTTCTGGATTTTTTGTACAATTTCTCGCATATTGCCCGTCAAACCCGTTCCCTTTCTTTCAAATGTTTGCTAGCCTTCTTATAAGGATTTGAGAAAACTTCTCTTTTTTGTCAACTCTTTTCCTTGGAATGATTCTG